GGCTCTTTTTTTTTTTTTTTTTTTTTTTTTTTTCGACACACCAGCCAGTGTACAATGTCTCCATGGTTACGCAGGTTTGGAAGTTATTGTGTGCGAGGTGACAAAAAGGGGAAGGGAATGCGAAATCGTGTGCGATATAGAGACACAGACTTTCATATCACGGGGAGAATAACCTGACACAAATGATCATATCTGTATTTTACCAAGGTGTACCATTAGTGCCAAAAAAAAAGTGAGAAGTTTTTTTTCTGGGGGGGGTCACATGACTCACCTCTTGACTTCCATTCATTGATTTGATATTCATAATTAATAGACCAAATGACCGCTCAAGAGTGAAGAGAGTGAGGCTGCTCCGGAAATAATTGACCCACTCCGACTGTAAGCTTCCGTTCGATAATGTTTCTGATTCTATAGGGATATGAAATAAGAGCCAGCAGTGAGCCGGCAATGATGCTGACCCCGACTGAAAACCGGAGCAACCAACCCAACTAAATTATCCTGTTTGGCAAAGACGGAGAGTTAAAGAAACTGGCACACGCCTCCGCTAAGAACTCGTAGCCGCTCGGAAGGCCGGTGTACAGAAGCCGCTCTTCGATCCCAAAGTGATGATTAAATTACTCTGAGGTGGAGTTATTGTCTGCTTTATGGTGCCGGGGGGTGGGGGGTGGGGGACTCTGTCGTGGAGAACGGCCTCGAGTACAAATATTTCATCAAGCTCATCGATTGGGCCTGGGCACACGAGCGTGCTCGTCCACACAAAAAGCTCAGAAATGAAATGCCTGACCCGCCTGCAAGGCCCAAAGTTAATTTGAAAGCTGACATGTTTGTATGCTTTTAATTAAACGGGTTGATGCTATCATGTGATTATATAAATGTGCCTGTTCGGAAATAAAAGATTTTTTTCTTTTCCCCCTCCTTACCACGTCAAATTTTAAAGTTGTAAACCCAAGTGGCTGATGTCGTATCAAGTCACGTCTTCTAAAAAGAGAAATATAGGACATTCTTTGGTTTGCGTCTTGACAGTTTTCCTTTTCTTTCGCACCGCTGAGGAAATGTTTATTTTTTATTTTTTGTCAGCCTCCCTCTTCTGCCTTCTCTCTCTCTCTGACTTTCATGCCACGGGCTTAGCACTGTCAGCAAACTTTGTAGCTGTTGACAATAATAACACGCAGGTTCTCAGATATTCTCTCCGGTGCCGAGAAAAAGTACA